CAAAGATCCGACAAAGATCCCACAATCTTTGAGATAACCTATCGTGGAAGGCACACTTGTGCACAAGCCTCTAAAATGGTTGCTTCTTCCTCAGCGCCACTTGAAAATCAAGAACCAATCATCAATAGCAATATTGAACCACAACAACACAATTACCAACCACTGCAAATTACTCATCCACAACAACAACAACAAGAGGCACTCTTGAATCTGAGAGAAGGCCTTACAATTGTCACAGAAGATTTAGACGTTCACCAGCAGTCACTTGCTTCGTTTCATTTTCCACCTTCTATATCAAATACAAACACTGAAAGTCATGTGATCTCGTCTTCCATGGTTAATAACAATTTCACAGGAAACTTTTCACATTCGTTTATATCTCCAGCGACGTCTGGGACTAATTATTTCTCGGCTTCTTCAAGTGGGATGAATAGCTTTCAAGGGAATCTTAACTTTCGAAGTTCTGATCAGTCAGAACTCAATGAAATTGTCTCAGCTGCTACTTCTTCAGCAACCAATTCTCCAACTGTTGGCAGCCTGGATTTCCCATTTGGTAACGCTGAATTCGATCCAAACTTCACGTTTGACAGTTCACTTTTTTCCTCATTCCAACGCTTCGGAAAATGAAGATAATTTCGCTTAGTTACATTGAGTTAGTAATTGATTAATGATAATTTCTGTAGCAAGTTTGTCATGTCTTAAATTCGAAATTATTTGTTTGCCCCCTAAAAGAGCAGTTCCTTAGTCTTGATTCTGCGATGTATAATTGTATTATCAATTGTTGCTTATTATCATTTATATAGTAATGAATCTCAATATTCAAGATTGTCACGTCGCAGCTAGATAGAGATATAAACGGAACGATTTTTCTTTTTTTATCAACTCAATTCAACATATTATATGACATAATACAATCTAGAGTAGAGATGGGCGTTTGACCTAACCCACCCCGCCCCGAATGGGGTGGGGTTCCATGAAAAAGTCAAGGGTGAGTACTAGTGCGGGTCCAAAAAAAAAGCCCATAACTGGGTGCGGGGGTGAGAGCGGGAATGACCCCTCACCCGCACCCGGTTCTTAAAAACATAATGTACTAATACTATAGTTCTAATTAAGTTTTTCAATGTAAAAGTGTGTTTGTTTGAAAATTTTCAAAGAACTCTAATCATCTCGTAAAATTAGTTCATATTTTTTGTAACCACTACTATGGTCAAATTATTTACCTTGTCCAAAAAATATGTGAATAATTGGAAAGTTGCCTTCCCAACCTAATCCATACTTAATTTGTATAATCATGTTATTGCAACAACTTAAATTGTTTCTCTTAATTCAAAAATGTGAATATATATTTTCTGATTCTTTTAACTTCAAAATTCGTTAAAAACTATATACTTAATTAAAGATGTTATTTTAAAAAATTATTGCATATAATAATTTGTTTAATGTAAATAATGAGCGTGACATGTTGATTTTACTTTTTAATAAAGTACATCATTATTAACTATATTGAGATATAAAATTGAATCAATTGATATCTCAACTTTAATTGAAAAGTTATACTCTTCTTTAGTAATGTCACATTTTGAATTTTTTTTTTTTTTTTTTTTTATGGGATTATTCTCCACGGGTAATTTTGCCCAATAAAACCTCGTTAAGCCGAGCGGGGTGGGGGTCTCTCCTCCCCCATGGGGTGGGTGTAGGGATCCCCCGTCAAACCTGCCCTTGGAGGCGGGTTCGGGTGCAGGGGATGAGGTCCCCGACCTCGATCCGCCCCGTGCCCATCCCTAATATAGAGATATTGGTTTGAATAGGGATAGGGATATAAGAAAGGTACCCCCAATAACAATTGTTCTTCCCCTAATATTGCATGGAATAGAAATTGAAAATAATCCAATTTTTTTTCAAGAATTTTTCTGTTAAGGTTGGTAAGCCAGGTCTCTATTGTTGGTATCAAGCCCTGAAAGACAAATGTTATAGGAAGAAAGTGAAACCATCTGAGTGGAAAAACTAAAATGGGCTAATTGATGCCCATTGGGCTTAATTAAAACTAATAAATATGGGCTTACTAAATACAGTACAAAGTTTTGGGAGGCAGATAATAATTCAGTAATGGGCTTGCCTCTTGGGCTATTTCTAGAGCCACCAACGAGTTATTAACTACAATGTTCATTAAAGCATCTGAAAATTGAGAATGAATTGTCTTGTACAATTTGTAGTGGGTGGGCAGGCCATCTCATAAATATTTATGACCCTATACAAGAGTTACTTTGAAGGCCTTCTAATAATACAAATATATATTAAAAAAATTATTTCAAATTTATTTTTCTTATCTTTTGAGATGTAAAATCACTAAAAGAGGTAGACAACGACCAACGGGCTAATAGGGCCAGGTTGGTGAGGGGTTTTGAAGAGTAGATGCTAAAGAAGTGACGGTCAGTGAAATTGGTGATTTTCAATTCTAGAATTGACCAGAAAAGGCTCGAGAAGTCGCGACCCAATAGGTATCAGTGGCCGACAATTGGCGGAGTAAACAAATGAGGTATGATAGGAGTTTTGGTGAGAGGGCTGAGGGGTGGAAGATGGTGGTGTTGGGGAAGGCCAACAACACCAAGTACATGCCGAAAAGGTCGGAAATGGCTGTCGCACGTGCTAGAGTTAGGTTGCGAGATTTGTAAAAAATTGGTCAAATCAAAAGCTATCAAGATTTGGAAAACACTTGGGAAATGATAAAGTAATGATTTTGGTCGATTTTGGTGAGGAAATTGACCAGAATCAACTCCAAACGGTTGGCGGCGAAAGAGGGATGGAGATAATTTATGTGAATGTCGAATTTTGGGTTTGAATTGGGGGTGAGTAATTTGAGATATGTAAATGACTATTTTACCCTTTCATTGCTAAAAAAAAATTCAATATATTAATTTAGGAGTGTAAATTAGAATACATAAAACTAGAGGTATAAACTTGTTATTTCATCAAACTTTGGGTGGAAATATATGTAAAAAGTTTATAATTAATTTGAGTGTCTTTGGCTTTTTTTTGGGCTCATTAAACCTATCTAGATAAGAAATTATACACTATTTTTATTTTTGTAATATATTTAAAATAAAATTTACAAAAAAAAATTGGGCGCTTTTTTACCTTATTTTTGGGAGGCCCTAGGCAAGTGCCTAGCCTGCCTACCCCTTGAGCCGGCCCTGAGGTGGTCCAAGGCATTCATACAAATTTCAGCTAGCTGCTGTAAAATCTCAGTCTAAGCTTATGGGAGGGACCTTCTCACAATTTGATGTTTTTCAACTTCGGGTGGAACTGGACAACTATATCTAAAAATCCTGAATATTAAATTGTCTTTTCTTTTCTAAAATTTGTGTGTTTCCGACTTGTTACCTTGTTAATGACTTTATAAGTTACAATAAATTAATAAAAATTTAGCCAAAAGATCGATACTGATGGGCAATCAGAAAGATGATTGTGGCAACTACTTTATATAAAGGGTAACATTAAGAGCTTTAATTTTGTTGTTAATGAATTTAACCAAAATGCCATGCCTCTATATTTATCAAGCAACGACAGACTGAGTCATCCTCAACTTAGAGTCATCTGCAGCTTGTCTAACTAATTGGTCTTTGTTTGTTTTGAGCATGTGTGCTCTTGTTGGGCATATGTGCCTGTTTCTCTTTTCTGTTTGGTTTGAGACTACAAGTATTGTTAAGACACCTAAGCCCATCTCCGACATCTTCTAAGGGTATGACCTTAGTTTTCTTTATAGTTTATCCCCTCCCAAAAAAAAAAAAAAAAAAAACTTTTGGAGTAGGAGTCTGAACTCCTGGCCACTTAGCTAATTTTAAAGCCTTTTTGATTATATGGGTCCCACCTGATAAATTGTGGCTAACCAATTGCGATTACTGTGTCGGAATTATGAGAGAAATTTATGAGAGAGATTATGGGTGTAGCATTACTCATGGGACATACATATGCAAGAGATGTAGAGGTCTCAATATAAGTCATGTCTATTTTCTGCCTAATCAAGGGAGACTGCACAAATTGTATAATTGGTTTGCCAAATGGTAAGATTGGCTAGTACTTACGGCTCAAAAAATTATACAACCGGGGAACACTATCCACTCATACTAAACCATCTACTAATATTGAAACACTGAAATTTAAAATGATCATATCAAAGGAAATTTACTAAAAAAAATCATCAAAGGTCCATGATTCCTGAACATTTATGAACATGTCTATTGTCTAATATAGCAAATCATTATAGAACAGTATATGCATGTAGTGTCGCACTCCAATTTTGATTATGTTAGATGACACTTACAAAAATGTCGACTTCAGGAAAATTCCATCTTAGATTCTAAATTTGAAATGGTTAATAATGTCATTACTATTGCAGCAATTAATTTAAATTATTGGCTGGGACGCACTTGGCAGTGCTCTCTGTAGGAATACTGAAAATGATATAATTGATAATTAATTTGATGCAGATCTTATTTTAGCTGGCAAACATTTTTTTTTTTTTTTCTCTATAGAGGTGCCTATGTCAGTTTACGCGTACCTCGGTTATTCTTCAGGAGAAGTTATCTCACAACAACCCATTGTCGTGGCCCTTCAAGTAAATCATGGACAAAGATACTATTTTTGCTTCCAACGAGGAATCAAACTTGGGACTGTGAGTTTTTAGCTGGTAACTTCATTGAATTAAAATGGAGATGGAATTTAATAAATCATTTACATATTTTTCTAACACTCACATATTCTATTCAGATTCTCAAATTAGTTAATTCTATCATCATGCATGCATGCATGCATCCTCCTTATTTAACAAATAAATGTACAGAGCACATTCACATATTATAATTTTTTTTATTAGCTAGCATTTGCTCGTATTTTGAAAGATTTAGGTTAAATTTAGCTTGGGAAATGGAAATATATCATTAATTAATAAGACTCATACATACTAATTAATTAAAGTCGCTTGAGAATGCTCAAAGGGTTACACTAGCTAAAACAAGTCATGACACTTCTAATCATCTACGTACAAATTTAATTATATAAATTGGTCAATAGAAATGCCGGTTAATGTCTACCACATTTCATTTATTTATGCAAATCTTCTTCGAAACTTCCTGTTAGGGTTGGGACCTGAGACTGAAACTATCATTAGTAGACAGACTTAGCAGAATGTCTGTTGAATTTGTTGAGCAAGCTCCTCCGCACTCAGTTGGCATTCAATTCCAATCTATTAACAAAACAAACACTTCTTCAATAAATTTCAACTGTTAATGGAAACAGAAGGGGGCAAGAATCTAGAGAAACCCTAGTTTTTAGCAATGCATTATGTTCTTTAAGTGACATGCAATAAACATTAGAGTCCGTACCATTATAGTACGATTCTCCATTTTAGTTGAGTGTGAATTTACTCCTGCAAATTATTAAAGAAATATAGGACTTTTAAGTTTTGCTACAGTTTTTCCGCTTAGAGTTTACAGCCTTGCGAATAATATCTGTTCATTTAAATTTCACTATATTCATAAATGGAGCTTACTTTCATGGTCTAAATAATTTACGACATTAGTGACACAGTTTTTGATGAAATTATTCAAACTTTTTATCCCAAGAAAATCCCAAAATTTAAGCAAGAGGTGTATATGTACTAGCAAGCTTAAGCTTAGTTGGCAATTAATATACATCTGTTATGTCTTATTCAAAAGACAATATGCAGACGAGAGTGAGCAGAAACATTTTGTAAGATCTGAATAGCACTACAGACAAAGTGAAAAAAGCTTCATGGGTCACAACAGAAAAGACAGGTCGAAGAAAAAAAAGTTGAAGAAATTAAAGAAAAATGGTTAAAATTTTATAGCACCTTGCTCAAGAAAAAAAAAATGTACACAGCCTCAATGATCCTTTGTAGAAACTAGGTTATTATATTGTTAGTAAGGACTTATGATTAAATTAGATATTGATGATTAATGCTAACTTTTTTTTTCCCTCTTAAATGAGAAATTATCATTTTTCTTATAATTATTATTATAATTTCATATGGTTATTAAAGTTCCAAATTAAATGAGGTAGAGTTTTACCTTGATTGTGAAGGAGTTAAGCATGGTTTCATCAACAGTGTTGATGTTCACATTGAGAATCTCCAGGGAGAGGTCTTCAAGAGCGGCTATTATTTTCCCAGCCTGGCCAGGAATTCTTGGGGAAACCGTCTTTAAAAGAACGTTTGGGCCAGAAAACTTCACCTCCACATCAGCAATGGCAGACTTTGAATTGGCAACGAGCTCATTAATACTGTCAATGGAGGAAGTACTTGAAGAGCAAGGGGATGGTTCAACGGAACTCGGCTTAGTTGGAGATAGGTAACCTTGCTGCAACCTCGGCCGGTAAGGGCTTCCCGGCTGTGGAGTTCTCGGACTTATAGGTAGGTTCAATCTCGGACTGAGCGGCGGTTTTCTAGGGCTAAGTGGTAAAGGTCTTGGACTTGAAACTATTCTAGGGCTTAAAACCTCACTGTAAACTTTTCTTTGCTTCTTGGCTTCAAGTGATTGAAGAACTTGCTGCAACTCATTGATGTAATCAACAACACCTCCAATTATAGAAGCTTGATCTCCCTAATCCAAAACAAAATAGGAAAAGAAATAAATAAAAGATCTTCAGTCCTAACTTGAAGTAGAAGGTGATGACTTACTCTTTTGACATAGAAGCAAGGCATAAGAGATCGCAACACTGAGAGGTGCTCGTTCATTTGCTTTCTCCGGTTACGCTCCACCGTTATGTGAGACATCCTTTGTTGTCCATCCGGGAGCGCTTCATCAGAGGAATTGGTGGCAGCATTATTAATCTTCTGCCTCTTGCTCTTGGGTGAAGTTTCAAGCTCAGTTTCAGACTCTTGCAGAATACTTGAAGAAGTAGACTTCTGTGACACCAATCTTGCGCCCTTTTCTTGTTGATAGGAGCTTATTACAACAGTTTCATCCAACAGCGTAACTGGAGGGAAGTCCGTGACGCTATCTAAACTCTCAAAAATAGCGAAGAGATCATCCTCGGCCAACTCAGGTTCGTCAAAAAAATCAGACAAACAATCAACCATTTTGACCTTTTCTTTTCTTTTCTTGTCGAAACAAGGAAGATTGTTTTTCTTTCCCGGAAAGTGCGGTTAGGAGACAGAAGTGAAGTGAGAGTAGAAAAATACCCAGATATCCAAGAAAATTAGGAGTGATTGTCAAGATCAAGAAAAGGATACCAAAAGGAGTAAATAGGAGAGCTGATAAGAAAGGGACTAAACTATCACCATCAGCTCTTATTTTGATGGGCTTTCTTATGAAATCAAAAGATTTGAGTTTGTTGCCGTTAGCTGCTGGGTTTCTCACGAAAAATAAGGGCAGTCTCAGGGAAGCACAGAATTCCAAGAACTTCAAATGAACAATGATAGCCGTTGCTGATCGATTTGGAGATAGATAGAGAGAGGGACAGCAGCAGCTTGATAGAAGTAAGCTATATAAGATGTAAGATGGGAGATTGTTATGAAGAATAAAGGAAATTAATGTCGAAATCAATAAGAGTAGTGGGGTAGTGGAGGATTCTTGAGCTTTATTTATTTATTTATTTTAATTTTTTGTTTAAAATTAAAAAAAAAAAAAAAAATACCTTTGGTCGAGATCTTGAAATTTAATGACTACATGCATGCTGTTCCAGGCCACTTGCTTCTAGGGCATGTCTAAAATTAACCATAGATGCTACAATTTTGTTTGCATGCAAGACATTAATTGTTTATCACTGAATGGAAACACATTTCTATTTATAACTTTTTTATTTGAGTTTACAGACATTTACCCGAATCTCATAAAAATATAAGACATAGAGATAGCAGATCATTAATTGTTATTTAATATATATAATTGCGGAAATATTTATATAGAGTTGTCATTTTCTGAATTTAAAATAAAAATAAAAATTGACAGTCCGTTCAATTCATTTATCCTTTTTTTTTTCTTTTTTTTGAAAAAGATAAATTTCATAAAAGAAGAGAAACTATATAGAAACTAAGGGTATACCCTTAGAAAAGGTTTAAAGAAGACCAAAAACAGATGTGCTTATTTTTTTTAACAAAAGGATGGAAACAAACACCCAAAAGGGAGCACACAGGCTCCAAACCAAGGAGGGAGAAGGTCACAAGCGCCCTAACGGAGCTCGCAGGCTCAAACCAAATAGAAAAGACAAAATAGTACAGGCGTCCAACAAGAGCGCACAAGCTCAAAACAAACAACACCAATTAGTTGGGCAGGCTCCAAATGGCTCTAAGCTGAGAATGGATGACATACTTGGTTGCTATGTCAGAAGCTCGATCTCGGACTATGAAAAAGATCTCATCGTTGATCACACGCAAGGTCTTGCTCTTATAACTAAACACATGTGGTTATTCCTTTCGCAACAAATGAATCATCTATCCCAATCATACACTTAAAGCTATATATACAACATCTCAGCATCAAATATATTCCTTGATGAGAAAGATTTAAAATGATCCAATTTGAGCAAAAGATTCAAAATGATCCAATTTGAACTTTATCTTCTGCATGCCATCACATCACCAAGTGCATTCTCAAATACTTGTCAGATGAGTCAGGCCGTGATGATTTAAATTAAAGAAGGAGCAAAAGAAAGGTCCTTTGGTAATTAATCCCTCTGGTATTATGGCAAAAAAAGGTTCCCTGGTAATTAAATATGATCTCTATATTTCGAAAAATGAGTTTGGTTTTAATTCGTCTTCAATAGTAGACAAACAGTAAATAACACTTAATAGTAATGATAGGGCATTGAAAGGGGTGAAATCCGTGAAGGGGCATCGTTTCTGAACACTTTAAAGTGCCAGTTTCTAATTGACATCCATTAATGTTTTACGAATATGCATGGTGTTACTGTTTATAGCTGAAAATGGGACCAAAATTTCACTCATCAACTCTCTTAAATTGAAAGAATTTTAACTGTTCTCTGTTAGTACTAATTAACTAGATGCTTGCAGTTGCAGAGATTAGCCGATCGAGAAGTAATAACCAAATCTCATACAGTAAATTAAAAAAAAAAATCAAATATTATACATTAAATTTACTAAATCTAATGCATAAAGTTGATGAAAGCGTCTTAAATTTAATGGATATATATAGAAGATTTCAGTACAAAGAAACCTAAAGGCAACTTTGCAAGCCAAAAAGCATGCTCTTCATGAGTTATTTTCCGACTGCTATTACAATTTATTGCTCGTTGTGTGCTGGACTTTGACATAACATTATGTAAATACGTAGCAGAACTGATTATAAATGACAAAGATACCCTAAGGTAGTCGTTAGGTTTAAATTGAAGGAGGTTCTTCAATTTTGAATGTGATGTTGTCAGAAATTCCTGACCATCGCTTGTGGGTACTACCACTGCTTCAGATTCGTCTAGCCATCCACCTTGAGCCAAACTATATTGACATGATCAATAGGACCCACGTATTGATCATCCTGAACTTTTGTTTTTACAATTTCAATTGACATATACACTTAAACGCTAATTTTGTAAAGGAAATTTAAGCGATTAATTGTGCGAAGTCAGGAGGTACAATGTTGGGATTGTGCCTTAAATCTTAAATCCGATATTGCCGGGAAAGGGGGTTGCAAGAGGACTCTCCCCTTTAGATAGACTAGTAGATTGAGTTTTCAAAATATCTCAAAAAGTGTAAAATAGACACCAAAAGAATAGTCATTATGGGCCGTTATTAAGGGTGTAATTGAGCTTTTTGGGATAAAGTAAGAAGTTTACAATTTTTCTATTCTAAAAATTGCACAGTTGTAAGCTTTTGCTTAGTAGATTGTTTGAGTAAATAGTGGACGTACGTTAAATTGATTGGGCTAAACCACTTTAAAATTTTTATGTTTGGCTTGCTTTATTTTTTTTGTTGCTTGTCGTAATTTTGCATTTGAGTTGTGGGAATCTTTTTCAACAAGTGGTATCAGATCCCACGGTTCTTGTCAAGCATCTCAATTTTTTTGGAGATATGTCTAAGTTTGAGGTTCCGTTATTTGATGGTAAAATTAATTTTATGTTATGGCAAAGTACGATACAAGACCTTTTGGTACAACAAGGTCTTAATCAGACATTAGAAGAGAGTAAGCCAGAGAAGATGTCTGATAGAGATTGGAATAGAATTTAGAGGAGAGTTGTCAGTACAATCAGATTGACTTTAGCTCTAGAGATAAAGTACAGCGTGCTGACCGAGTCTACACCAAAGGGCTTGCGGGAAAAATTGGAGGGTATTTATGCGTCGAAATCGCTGACTAACAGATTGTGTTTTAAGATGGATCTGTATTCTCTGAAGATGGATAAAGGTTCGAGTCTCCATGATCATTTAAGTGAATTTAATAGGCTAGTATCTCTATTGTTGGGTATTTCTGATGAGTTAAAGGATGAGGAAAATGCACTGATATTGTTGTCATCTTTGCCTAAATATTATAGACTTTTAGTTCAAACTTTGTTGGTAGTCAGATCTACTTTAAAATTAGATGATGTGATTGCCTTGTTGCATGAGAATGAAAGATTTATAGGATCAGATAACTCATCACTTAGAGGAAATCTATTAGTTATAGAAGGTTCTAATCGAGGGAGGACTCAAGAGGTGATAAATCAAAAGTCAGAGATTACAGTAACAATGACTGTTATTATTGTGGAGAGAAGGGACATATCCAACCACGCTGTAAGAAATTAAGAGAATGTATGCTTGCTTTCAAGAAGGCTCAACAGACGAAGGATTCGAAGGATGATGCTTGGGTTGCTAACAATGAATGTGAATTTTCAGTAACATGTCAAGATGAAACTCAAACTTTAAAGGGTGAAAAAGGTTGGGTTTTAGATTCTGCTGCGTCTATGTATGTTTGTAATGATAAAGATTGTTTTGTTGAATTTAAAGAAGATGAAAATTATGGAAATATTGTTGTTAGTAATAACGAGAAAGTGAAGATTGAAGGCATTGGTAGCGTTCGTCTCAAGCTTTACAATGGTGCTGTCAAGAAGCTTTGTCATGTGAGATATGTGTTGAGTTGTAGTCACAATTTGATTTATTTGGATGAGTTGGCCTCTCGTGGATATACCTACATTGGTCAAAGAAATGGATGCGAAGTGTATAAATGTGATGTTCTGATTTTGCAAGGCAAAAGAAATGAAAAACAACTATATTTGCTTGATGAAGGTGAGTGTTGTAAGAAATCAAGAGATAAAATTGTTCCAGTTTCTATTGTGAAAGAAAAGAAGACTATCAAATGAGTAAGATTTTCATATGCTACTGTGATGTTTAAGGATTCAAGTCAAGCGAGGAATTGTTGGGATTGTGCCTTGAATCCCATATTGCCAGGGAAAGGGAGTTGCAAGGGGATTCTCCCCTTTAAATAGACTAGTAGATTGAGTTTTTAAAATATCTCAAAAAGTATAAAATAAACACTTAAAAATAGTCATTGTGGATTGTTATTAAAGATGTAATTGGGTTTTTTGGGATATTACAATTTTACTCTTCTAAAAATTGTACAGTTGTAAGCTTTTGCTTAGTGGATTGTTTGAATAAATAGTAGACGTAGGCTAAATTGATTAAGCCGAACCACTTTAAAATTCTTGTGTTTTGTTTGTTTTATGGTATTGCTTACCATAATTATCCGATTGAGTTATGAGAATCTTTTTCAACATTTAAGAGGGTATTTAGTCGATCATTTAAAGGAGAATGATGTGCAAACACAAGTTTCTCTGTGGGAAATTTAAATGGCACTGACTCGATGCTCAGCAGGTTACATTGTACTGGAAAACCATAGATGCAAACTGGTGAGGAAAGACATGGTTGAGGTACGGTAATAATTACGTCAATCTTTTCAGGTTCTTGAATCTGGATGAATGATCAATGTTTGATGATTTAAAGGAAGGGACGTTTGCAATAGAATGACACCTAAATGTAAAAAGTGGTCAGAAACAGCAGTGAAACGAATGTATATATTTATAAGTTTAATTAGTTTCCGGCATGAATTAATGCCGTAGTTTTTATCATCCGGAAAATCTTTATGTTTGCAAAAGGCAAAAGTGGAGAATATTCTTCATAAAATCATCAAAGGCTGCT